CATCGGAGGAGTCTTCGGTTTTGGACGTCCTTCGTCGTGGCGCTGTGACGTATGCGGCCGAAAAATTCGACCTTCGGAGGACCCGGCCTGCCGTTTTGGACACAGCCATTGAAAGTGTTAGCTAACTGCAGTGTGTAGCATACTCTCCTCTCATTGGTCAGTTAATGAAACCCTCACTGATTGGTTGTACGCTAAGAGACAAAAGTTGAACAGTTTTCAACTTTCATATGTGACGTTGCAAGCTTGCGTGTGCACGTCTACGTGCACGAGCGCGAAATTTCACATGCACGATTTTCGCCGGTCGCTTAGCTGGAGGGCAAGCGACTGTCGCCTCACCGCACAACTTCCATAAGAAATGAATGGAGAGCGAGCGACGTGGCCTCCAGTGTGTCGAGCCCTTAAGTCTGCCTGTCCGGAGAACGTCTGGAGGCCTTCAAAGAGGCCGGCCGGGTGGAGCCAGAGTTGTCTGGCCTCCACAGGACAGTAAGAGGTAAATAAATGGTGAAGATAGAGATCCCAACCAAGCAAAACCAGGTGGGAACAGTATGTAGTCCCACAATCACTATAAAGTGTTTTAAGGGAGTCGTTCTTGGTTAAAGAAGGCAGGTCTGACAGGTTAGAGTGATTTAAATAGAAAATGTGATGCCTCAGCAGATGTTATCAATTAATCCACTGGAACATGTTTTAAATCTTAAAACAGTACTCAACACATCTCTAGTTAATATTGTTAAATTCCAACAACTAAAGAAACAAACAGTCAGTTATAAGTGAGACAGGCTGCACACTCCTGCACAGCAGTGAACAATCAGCTTTTAACACAACACCTGACTCAGTAAACACACACCTGTTGGTTGGGTGTTGTTTCCCGGGTCACTGTGATTAAAGCCATGCCTGCTTCTCTTCTGGGCTGCACCTGTCTGCTACTGTTCAGCTAACGTTAGCATCCACCTGCGAGGCTCGTCTCTCTCTCAGGTGGAGGAATCAATAAACATCTTTCTCTGGTTTTTTAAATCTACCAGCTTCAATATTGTTTCCAGTTCTTTTTCAAACTTCTTCTAACAAAGAAACTCATTTTATTCGAGCTCCAACTTCTGTTGGATCTGAAACAAAATTTTCCAGATATCTAAGTCCCGCCCCCATCCGATTTCTGATTGGCCTGTCTAGTGTGTTTAAAGTGAAAGCTGCTCCTCTGATTGGTCCAGAGAAATGTCTGTTAAACATTTTTCCCAGTAAGTCTGATTTTTTTTCTCTCTATGGAGGTAAGCCGGAAATCCGACACAGTACCGTAATACCATCAGCCCTGCTTTAATTCCCAACCAAAGGTGGGGACAACTGGTCTGTTAGTATGTTTATGAGTCGACAGGACTGATAAGCTACAGACCAGTATGAACACAGCTAAAACCTAAGTGGATTGCTGTGGTCTCTGAGGTAGGAAGCTATCTACAATAGATATTTCATTTATTTAATACATAAACCCACTTCAATATAACCGAACTTCTCTTATAACAACTAAATAAAATAAGTTCCTAGCTTAACTACCCATCTCTTTCTAATGTCTTCAGAGAGACAAATTGCTTAAATACTGACATTTAAATGAATGTTTGTCAGTAAAACTAGCTATGGTTTCTAACAGTTACCATGAAAGAAAGGTTACTGGTGATGAACTAAATGAATTGAAGGGTACTGAAACTCATCTTGTAACACCCCCCACCCCATCACTTCCACTTCCCCTAACATTTTCTAAACCCTGCTCTGTTTTCCAAACTTCTTTGGTGACTCTGGTTTCTCTAACACAGGGTTCCTACACATTTCAAAAATTAATGGCCGTTTAACAATGTTTGATTGTTAAACACATTGCTCTGCAGCTTATGGTTAGTTCCCACAGCAACGAATGTCACATCACAGGAATTAAAGTAGAACTACAACTAYTAAGATACATTTTGGAAATGGGACTCCCACCTCCTAGATTTCTAAAGACTTTTTGTATAATTTGAAAAAACATTTATAGATTTATGTATTTTTAAAAAATGTTAAAAGGACTTAAAGTCCTGTACTGTGCAGGAACCCTGACTGAAGGTGGCACTGAGCTAAATAAGATCTGTAAGTCTATAAATGCTCTTACCACCAGAAATAAAGGTCWACAAGGTTGTTAAGACCAATTAAGTGTTGATTTGAGGAATGAGCTTACTAACCTCTCCTCTCCCCTGAATTTCCTTTTCTATATTTTTAGGTGGAAGAAGCTCCATGGCTTGACATGCTGGTCATACTGCCAACCATGCCAGCCGGGCCAGCCATACCTGAGGGTCCTCCCATAGCTGGAGGACTGTGCTTGGTGGGTGAGGTCATGTCGGCTCCACGCCCTTGACCTTGGGTCTGAGGAGTGTGGTGGGCATGCTGCAGGGCATGGCGCTCCAGTAGAGTGCGGTGAGTGAAGGCCCGGTGGCACACGTTGCACTGGAAAGTGCGCTCGGCACGGTGGGTGCGCATGTGCACGTTGAGCGAGCTTTTCTGGGTGAAGCGCTTGCCACACATGGTGCACTGGAAGGCCCTGACACCAGTATGCACCACCATGTGTTTGAGGAGGTAGTCACGCAGGGAGAAGGAGCGCCAGCAGATGGAGCACTGATGAGGTTTCTGGCCTGAAGAGGCAGGTAGACACAAACACAGACACTCAAAGCAGTCTTATTTCAAWTWWYTTTTTATACTTTGCTTTTGTTCAAACAGTTCATCTGCATTAAGAAAAAAAACTGTAATTCAGTGTAAAACATCAAGCACAAAACTCATGCCCTGATTCATCAAAGAATTGTGGGAATTTTGGGGGTACGGTGCGCAGCACTGTGTCTTCTGAAGAAATGAAAATGATTTAACACAGTTGTTTATACTTTTAGCAGCTCTTTTTATT